TCAGCCTGTCTTATGTGTAGATTGTTTTAAATACAGCTTCTGCTGTGTTACTTAGTGCTTCAGATCCCCTGAGGCACTTCAAACGTTTGATAATGTTCTTAAGGTCTGCAATACATTCCTGTCCATGTTTTTACAAAGGACATTAGAATCATGGCTGTCTTTCATTAATACTGCAGTCCCCAGCCTGGAGAATCTGCTTAGTATTTTCAAACTTCTCTGTAGTAGTAACAGCTCTGGACAGCTGAGGGCATCTAAGCCAAATTACCTGCTGGCAAATGGCTTTGAAGTCTGTCATTACACTGCTAAAGATAGCAGGTTACATCTCTGCTGAAGAATTAAAAGCAGTATAAAGCATTCTTTGTTAACTAATTGTGAAATGCATGTCATTTTCCTTCTCAAGCAGTTTAGGGTTCTTTAAAACATTAATTCCCAGTTGCCAAATAGAGGTTTCTCTTTTAGGGATTTTGCCACGAGGCAAGAATGCAATTAGTATGCATTAAACAGCATGATCGTGACCTTGATGTAAACGGCTTGATGATGGTATGATCGTTCTCTCTTATCTTAATCCATCAAATACAGAGAAAGAAGACCCTCCCTAATAGAAGTGGCCATGTTCAGATTGCAGCCATGTTACATGATCAGTGCTACTGTGCTAGAACTAGTTTAACATGAATAATAGGCAAAAGCATGGATGGAGGTTTTACAGGTGCTGATGTCTACAAGGAAATGAACTTTATTTAGTTAAAGTTGGGGGCTCTGATGAGTGCTTCACTAAAATATATTAGTAATTTTAATGGCTAGATTGGAAAAAAAAAAAGGCAGAGGGTATTTAGCTGTGATGGCCTGGAAACACAGAGGAACCTACCACAGGATGCTTGTCTTTGTAGTATTCAGCTGCAGGAGAAGCTCAGGCAGAGACTTAAATGTAACAACTAAATATTTATTTATTTATATAAATATATATATTTCAAACTTGGAGAATTAATCGTTCCTGTTTGTAAAAAGAACTTTCATATCCAAAAAGTTCCATTACATCTCAAGGGGAACCTTGCTAGCCGTTAAGAATTTTCCCTGTTTGCTGTCTACTTGGTCCAGGTCTTGGGGATTGGATCGTGGTTTCTTGCGTTGTTTGCATAGAACATCAATTTATGCACCTGGGAAACAGGATTTTCATGCATTAGATGTCTATTCACACCCAAGCAGCTGTTGCCAAGAGCTCAGTCATTAAAAGTAGTGGTATGTATCCCTGTTATTTCTGAAGAAATGGCAGGAGAGTCCTCAGGAGACCACATTCAGCCTGATGTGAGATATTTGCTTACATACATACAAGAAATGAGATGCGATTTACAAAAGACCACAGGCTCAGCATTTCCAGTCAAATCTATTCCTTATTTATTTATTTTAGATGGTAATGAGCAGAGACTCCAGTTACCTGAAAGCCCATTTTCCCTGTGCAGCTAAAAGAGGCAGTTTAGGATATGCTGTTATGAACATAAACATTACACTAAGATCATGACAGTCAAGGTGGCATGACAAATTTTGATTGGACAGACATGAGGGAATCCAAAATCTTCCCTTGCCTTCTCTCCAGAGCCTCTGCCATTCGTTCTCTCCTATTAATGAGGTACAAAACATTTTCTTACTCACGTTTTTCAAACAGAAAAAAAGAAAGCATTATTAAAAAGTTGGAAAAGTTTCCCCAAATTGGAAATAAATAGCAATAAAACTGAAATTCTGACACAACTTAGGTATGTGACAACACCACTGCAAGAGAGTTTTCTTTGATGCCACACGTATATGGAAAAAAATATCATCTCTGTGGAAGGATACTATAAGGGCAATGAGGCAGTGGTTGCCAAGAGAGGGGATGGTTGTCCTGTCCCTGAAGACATTCACGTTCAGGCTGGATAGGGCTCTGAGCACCCTGATCTAGCTGTAGGTGTCCCTGTTCATTGCAAGAGGAGTTGAACTAGATGGCCTTTAAACATGGCCCCTTCCAACTCAAACAATCTATAATTCTATGAGAAACATTATGAAAAACAAATTAAAATAGAGTCAGGCCTCCAATAGCAAACTCCCAGCATGAAATCAGAGATGCAATTCACCTTTTCAGGCACAAATGAAGAGAATTTTATGTTCCAACTTGCTGGCAGTCAGCCTGCTGCAAGAACATCTGTTCCCTTCTTTCTCCACCCAGAACACACACTTGGGCAGCGAGGCCTGCGCTCTGACTCCAGACATGTAGCTCACCCCACTGATTACCTGGGAACCAGCATACACCATTGGGTTTACAAAAGGACAACCTGCTAGATCCATCTATTCAAGTCCTAGCACTGTTCGCCCAAATATCCTTAGTGTAATGCTCCTTCAAAGCTTTTTTTATAAGAAAATGGGGGGGAAAAATGATCAATCCTCTCACTTCTAGAAAGTGAAAGGAAGCTGCATGTTACTCTGCCAGTGCTCTTATGTTCTAAAAAGGCATAAACCAGGCGCTCCATTGAGCTGTGCAGCTGCTATGGCTGAAAAATGAAAATGTATCATAGAATCACAGAACCATTGAGATTGGAAAAGACCTCTAAGATCATCTAGTCCAACTGTCAACTCATCACCACTATACTCATTAACCACATCCCTCAGTACCACAACCACATGTTTCTATGAGAAGGTTCATAAGGAGGATTTAGGGAACTACAGGTGTGTCAGCCTGACCTCAGTGCCAGGGTAGGTTACAGAATGGATCATCTTGAGTGAGATCACATGGCATGTGTGGGATCAGGACCAGCTAGCATGAGTTCCTGAAAGGCAGGTCCTGCTTAACCAAATCTTATCTCCTTGTATGATGGGATGACTCACCTGGCAGATGAGGAAGAGGCTGTCAATGTAGTCTACCTAGACTTCAGCAAAACCTTTGACAGTGTCTCCCACAGTGTTCTCCTAGAGAAGCTGGCCACCTGTAGCTTGCACAGGTGTGTTCTTTGATGGGTAAATAAGTGGCTGTATGGCAGGGCCTAGAGAATAGTGGTGAATGGAGTTAAATCCAGATGGCAGCTGGTCATGAGTGCTCTTCCCCAGGGGTCGGTATTGGACTCTGTTCTGTTCAGTATCTTGATGACCTGGACAAGGGGACTGAGTGAACACTTGGCAGATGACACTAAGTTAGGAGGATTGTTGATCTGCCTGGGGATGGAAAAGCCATACAGAGGGATCTGGACAGGTTGGATCACTGGGCTGAGGCCAGTGGGATGAAGTTCAACAAGACCAAGAGCTGAATCCTGCCCTTCAAGACAAAACAACCCCATGCAGTGCTACAGGCTTGGGACAGAGTGTTTGGAAGACTGTGGAGGAAATGGACCTGGGAGTGTTGGTTGATTCTTGGCTGATTGTGAGCCAGCAGTGTGCTCAAGTAGCCAAGAAAGCCAATGGCATCCTGGCTTTTATCAGAAATACTGATGCCAGCAGGAGCAGGGAAGTGATCATCTCTCTGTGTTCAGCTCTGGTGGGGCCACACCTTAGTGCTGTGCTCAGTTCTGGGCCCAGTACAGGAAAGCACAGGAAAGACATGGAGGCCTTGGAGCATGTCCAGAGAAGGGCAGTGAAACTGGTGAGGGATCTGGAGCACAAGTCTTATGGGGAGCGGTTGAAGGAACTGTGATTGTTCAGTCCGGAGAAGAGGAGGCTCGGGGGAGACCTTATCATTTTCTACACCTACCTGAAAAGAGGTTGTATCAAGTTGGGGGTTGGCCTTCTCTCCCACATAACATTGATAGTTTAAGAGGGAATGACCTCAGGTTGTGCGAGGGGCGGGTTCAAGTTGGGTATCAGGAAAAATCTCTTCTCTGAATGAGTGGTGAGGTGCTGGCACAGGCTGCCTGGGGAGGTGAAGGAGTCACTGTCCCTGGAGGTGTTCAGGAACTGTGTAGGTGTGGTACATAGGCACACAGTTAGTGGGCAAATACTGATGGTAAGTGAATTGTTGGACTGGATGACCTTGGAGGCCTTTTCTAATCTTGCTGATTCTATGACTCTATAGTTCTTGAACACGTTCAGGGATGATGACTCCACCACCTCCCTGAGCAGCCTGTGCCAGTACTTCATCACTCTTTCTGAGTTTTTCCTGATATTCCACTTCAGCAGCTGTTGGCACGGCCTGAAGCCACGACCTCTTGTCCCATGGCTGTTACTTACTCGGGAGAAGAAGCCAGCCCACATCTCATCCTCCTTTCTGGGAGGAACTTTAATTCCTTCCTCTGAAAAACGACTTTTTTTGAGCAGCAGAAATATACGAAAGCATCACCCAGAGAAGCTCAACCAGAAGCACAACGTTTTTACAGAAAGGTAATGACGACAAGTCCCCTGACTTCTTTCGGTATCCCTAACAGATGACACGTAGCACACAGACACACCCGACGGCAGCCCGGACAGGCGCCCCCAGGCAGCCCCGCGCCCCGCCAACGGCTCGGCGGGTTGCACAGCAGGGGGCGGTCCGAGCGTGGCCGTTAGGGACCGCCGGGAGCTGTCCGTTCAGCACCGCGGACGGGACAGCGCGCCTCTGCCCTTAGGAGCGCCTCCGCGCCCTCACTTTACTTTAACAACCAAACAAAAACAAACAAACCCCCAACATCTATATATGTACGTGTGTCTATTTCCATTTATTGACCATCCGCACCTCTCGCAGCTCGGTCCCGCTCCCCTCGCCCTCCCCCGGCCGTGCTCGCCCCCCGCAGGGTGCAAGGCGGGAGGAACCGCCGAGCGGCCCGGTCCCGCAGTGGCGCCGCGGGACGGCAGCCAACCGGGAGGCCGCATGCAAATGAGCGCGGCGCTCCCCCAGGCGGGAGGGAGGCGCGGCTGCCGCCCGGTTGCCATGGCGACGCGAGGCGGCCGTGCCCCCGGGCTGCTCGTGGGGAGACCCCCAGCGGGGCGGGCACCCGCGTGACGGCGGAGCCCCGCGCCGGGCGGGCCCGGGCGGCGGCGGCGGCGGCGGGGAGCGGCGGGAGCCGGCCATGCCAGTGCTCGCCGGCGGTGCTGAGTCAGAAGCAGGTATCCCGAAAGCCCCTTCTGATGAGCGGCGCCCCGGGGCCATGGAGGAGCTGGAGCACACCTGTCCGCAGCCGCGCCTGGTGAGTGCGGCCCGGCCCGCGGGCGGGTCCGTGCGTGTGGGCAGCGCCGGCGCGAGGAGGGCCGGGGCAGCGGAGGGCACGAACGGCTTTCCTGGTGCCTTCCCGTTAGCTCGCTGCGCGGGCCGCCTTCCTCTTGCCCTTGCTCGTTCTTTGTCGTTTCGCTGACTTTGGGAAACGCGGTGACAGCCGAGCCAAGCGAGTTCCGGTCCTTTTCCGAAAGCGAGAAAGGAAACGATAAAACACCCCGTTAAAAAAAAAGAAAAAAAAAAAAAGAGAAACGAAGAACGCCGCGGTGCGATAGGCGCCGCCGGAGCGCCGTTCTGCGGCCTCAAGCGCAGGTACCGCGGCCGAGGCTCTGGGGCAGGGCAGGGCAGGGCAGGCCGCGGCGGCACCGGGCGGACCCGGCTCCCGTAGTGCCCGCAGCGCCGCCCGCCCGGGCAGCGATCCGGGACCGCGGGCGTGAGGGAGCGCCCCGAGGATGCGCTGCGCTGTGCGCGACCTGCCGCACCTCCGTGTGTGCGGCCCCGGACGGTCCTGAGCCTGGAAGCTGCCTCTTTTCGTGTGGTAATGCCAAGTGCCGGAGTGTTGGCTTGCTTTTTTGTGGAAATTATTGTTCTTGCACACTCGGAGGGGCAGGAGGCAGACAAACGGCAGCAAGATGTGGAAGTGTGTGATTGATGCAACAGCTGAGCGTGGAAATCAGATCCTTCAGCTCCAGGATTCGGTCTGATTAACACATATTTAAGCATCAGACTTTGGTAATTAACTTCAGCGCTATATTTGAATTAGTTGACACCATTCTAATGTGATGAGAAATAGCAACAGTTGCTGGAGTTGACCCAAATTAATGTTTCCTACTTGGTAGAGCTAGAACCAGCTTTAAAGAAAACCATTATTTCGTTCAAGGGATGTCTTTGGAGCTGTGTTGATAGGGCAGGTTAGCTCACGTGTGGTTGCTGCTGCATTCCCCTACACGCTGCCCAAGATTTCTATGTCAAAATACCCATTTGAATAGATTACTACATTGCAGTCTGACACTTTAAAAGATTCTAAAGGAGGCAGTGACAACGTGATGCCAGTGTTTGTGGTATCGCTGACTCCAGTATAATTCTGTGGAAATTCAGGTGACAGCTGGAGTGCATTAAGAGAACAGGGATTCATCATGATGTTTTAGGTCTTCATGAGTACCAGTAAATTCAGAATGGACAGTGAAAACATTTTGAATGAAGATTATGGAAAGTGCGTCCATATAAAGTGGTACATTGACAGCCAGCGGATCTACCTTGTCTTCAGGCACAACAAAAAGGTTGTTGTAGTATAATGGAATGTACCTCCCTTGATTGGATAAAGAATGTTATAGACAGGTGCTTTAGATAGCTAAGTCTCGAGAAGAGTTCAGAGCTGGTGTCCTGAAGGGTCAGTCACAACTCCACAGATGCTCTAGTGACACGGGCTTTTTAATATTTTCACTACCTTCTCTGATCCCCCTCCATCATGTATATACGTGGATCACTGACCAAGGCACTTATTTTATTAGTATAACTGAAAGAGGAGGTCTAAGTTACCGTCTTTGTATCATCCTGCAGTGCTGGACTACAGGATGGTACCTCAGAATGATACCCATTATAGACAACTTTTTGATACTGCACTTTGGTTGTTACGCAGCACAAAAATGATCTGGACCTTCAAGTTCTTAGTACAGGCTTGTTTTTAGGAAGCTATTTTTGTTAAGGAAAAAAAATTCAAAACACAAAAAGGTTAGTTGTTTTCTGAAACAGTTGTTGTCATCCTGTTCATTAAAAAAGCAATTATTTATTTTAAGCCTTACATCTGTGAATACTTTTAATGGATATCTGTCACTAGGTCCTCTGATTTTGGGCTGTGCAGTCTGCTAGCTTGGCAGGAAGTTTTTATCCTGCTCTTGTTTAGACCGAACTGCTGGCTTGGACAACTTTTCAATCTATTACTGCCCCATCTTTTTTCCTTTTTTCTTTTTCCTTTTTTTTTTTTTTTTTTTTTTTTTTTTTTTTTTTTTTTTTTTTTTTGTGAGCATTGCTTCTCCTGCTTAGACCTCCAGACATCCATGGTTTGGTCAGGTATCCATAGGTTGGTCAGAGGGACCATCACTGTTTTAAGTGGGTAAACATTGCTGCTGGTCATATCATGACGTGCATTCAAAAGGTAGCAGTTTCCCCCATGTAGTGTTCAACATGTTGTACACTGCTCATGAGCTGTGGATCTCAGTTAGGGAATCCTATTATGGTTTGCCTGTGTCTACCTACACTGAAAAGGCCCGTAAGTAGACAAGCTCTTAGTTTAATGTGATGGCAGAGACATCAGGGGAGGAAATAGATGAAAAGTAGAAAATTGTGTGAAACAATATGCCTTTTTTATTATTATTAATTTCAATATTTTGGGATCATGAGTTTGACTTTGGTTCCAGAAGAAGCTCTACATGAGCAGCTTATGGAAGGGTCGGGGCTCACCTTGTGAATTGCTAGTCAACGTGAAATAAAGAAAAGGACACTGCAACAGCACACTTTGTTCAGGAAGACCGTTCCAGAGAATGTCTTTGACCAAAAAAAAAAGGAGCAATGGCAATTTGTAAGTACAGTGCTGCAAATAAAGCAAAACTGAATACACATTGAAACTTTCCTGAAAACAAACTTCAAAATGTACCAGTTGGCCTCACCTTTCCTTTGATGGGATCTTTTCCTCGTATTTCAAGTCCCTGTCACATAATGTAGGCCTCAGGGAGAACACCTGGAGAAGCTGTTGGGACCTGAGTTAAAATGCATTCTTTTCAAAATTGGTCAGTTAATAGGAATGAAGTATCTTGAAATGTGTATTTCCATAGCAGTACCTAGCTCATGGTGCTTTGTGTCTGATGAGAGGTAATGCCTGAGTCAGGAATGCAGGCTGTTCTGCAACAGGTGGGGAAAGTTAGGCACAGCTTGAGGAATCCAAAAAAATCCAGTAACCACCTAAATTAGCTAAGGTGATCTAAAGGGGAGAAAACATGTTGGCCTATGTGTTCAGGGATGTTGGTGAGTACAGGGCCAGCAAGGAATTAAGCAACTTTTTTCATTACTATCAGCGTGATGACCTAAAAAAGCAGGTATGTGGCTTTTGCTGTGGGCTTTTGCAGTCCCAAAAACACCAGGTTGTTCTGGGAATCACAGTTCTGTGACATCCACACTACCACAAGAAACTATTCTCAGACATCTCAAGCTGAAGCCGGATCCCATTTGCCTGTGCAGCAAGTAATATCAGCCTTGTGTGGAAATGCTGTACTAGTTTTTTTTCTGACATCGTTGCAAGGGCAGGGAGACTAGCTGGAGACTTTGGACCTATCAGCGAATAAAACATGTTCTGCCAAGGCACTGTAATTATCAGGGCTATTTGAGGTTTACCCTGGCAATCCCAGCAACTGCTCCCGAGCCCGAGCTTCCTTCTACTGCCTTAACTTGAGATTCAGAAGCTACAAGCTTGTATGAATCAGTAGGACTTAGGCACCAGATATTCTGGGGCCACTGAATCTGTAATAATTTGGAAAATCAGATTTAGGAATGTTTGAAGAGCACAGCTTTCATGTAATTTGAGGTATCAGCTGCATTAGTTGTTCATTTTATTGTATGATTTATTTTAGAAGAAATGACAGCACAGTGAAGGCAGCATTGGGCTCCTCTAGATTCCTGTTCCTGCTGTTAAGCAATAAATTATTAAGCACAAAATCTGGGGAAAAAAAATTGCAAGAACCTTATTCATGTCTTGGCTTTCTATATTTTCATCCCTGGAAACCTTACCTCCTTCATATTTGCAGGCAGTGATTTGATAGGGTCTGATGTAACCTGTAGAATTACTTCAGATGTTTTACCTCAATGAGCCTCCATATATCTTCGTATTTACCTTTCATGTCTCACTAATATATATATGCAATTTTAACCAGAGGAGCTAATGCCAAATTTAGGGGCTTTTGTTGTGATTTCAAAGAATCCCGTGTGTTTGCTCTCTCTCATCTGATGTTATGACTTAGGGGGTCTGCCATCTGTTTACTTTAAACTGGAGCTAAGCATAAATGTCTACGTGAAAAGCTTGACATGTGAGAAACTCAAAATGACTTTGTGTGATCCAATATCTTTTAGTTCCTTTACAAGTTTTGTTTCTGCTCCGGCTTAATTTTAGTTTTTATAAATGTTGCCTATTACACAAAAGCACAAACTCTTAAAAAATGCCCAATGTTTGTACTTGGAGCACGTAGCAATCTTTACCACAGTTAACAAATACATAAAAACTTGCCTGTAGGCACCAGAAATCTGCTGAAATTTCATTTGCCGCATCAAAGGACACACGTTTGGTATACATTCCAGAATGCCACAGTCTCTGCAAAAACATATTGCAATTCGAGTTGATCAGATCCACAGAACTACAGAATTCATAAGTCACCCATGAACACAGCACAGGGAGCAAGCACTACATTGTGTGCCTTTATTCCTTGTTTGCAAATACGTATCTGCAATGCAATTTTAGGAGAAGCTTTACTGGGAGAATGTTACTGAGTTCTTAAGCTATGCTGTTGTTGCTACTGTGGAGGTTTGAGTAAAAAACCATTGCATGTGGATATCTCTACTTGCTCCCCAAAAGCATATACAAAATTATGACACATATAAAACATAAGAAGAAACCCAGTAATACAGAAACAGCAATAAGATGTAGACTGTTACCTCTCATTTAGGGCTGTGCACAGACAGCACAGCTGGAACTGTCTTCGTATGTGCTTACTTTGTTCCCAGGTAGTTTGCCCATCTTTCCTGCACGTATGGAGACAGAACACAAAAGGTGAAAAAACTCTTCTGAGAAGCACAGATAAATCAGAGGTCTGTTATGAAAGGCCAGTGTGCTTCCTAGGTGGAAATAGTTCATCCCAGGCTGCTCTTGTGTTCCAGCTGAGGAACTGCAGAGAATACTTGCCTCGTGCTGGGGAAAATTGTTTTTTTCTT